AGTTTTGGGTAAAATTCCAATAAAGAATGGCACCAAACAGAATGCTGAAACGATCGTATGATCATCCATTTGATAGATTTCAACCTAGCAATCTTTATTGGGCTTCTCGATCATACTGGTTTGCTTTATCATTCATTGCTCGTTTGATCATTTTGCTATACCTTCGAATTGTTTTCAAATATTCCAAATCTTATCATTTCATATTTAGTTTTAGATTTTTTTTAGAAGTTTGCAAATTTTAAACTGAAAATGTAGATCTACTTTAATATGATTGTGATTATTTTAATCTTTTGTTTACTTTTGTTTTATTAGTATTTATTTGTTTTAATATTTATTCGACTATTCTTTTTTGTTTGGATTTATTTTTTTGATTAACTTAACTTACACTGGTTGTTATCCTATATTATCGATATTTAACTTATTAAGAATGACAGTATTTATTGAATTCTTTTTCTGGCTACTTTATCTAATTATTTAATTTAATATTTTGTTTATAGAATAAATTATATCTCGTTGATAATCATTTAACATCTCTACAGGTATTTACACAGCCGTGATTTGGCACCCACGCGACCATACTCATTTACACGTATTTATGGGAATACATCGACGTACACACCGCCAATGCTTGCTGCTGAAACACGTAGATTAACACAGCGGCGTAATTATACAGGTTACACGTATATTGGAGCGGAACATAGCTATGATATAGCATCACGTCCTAATTCACTTGACAAATATCACTTTTGGCGATCGCATATACCTAAGTAAGAGATTTCTTTTCTTTTCAAATTTAGTGTAAAATTAGCAAATATAATTTATTATACTAACTATAATGAAATGTTATACAGAAAAGGAAGTATTTGTGGCATTAAAAAGTACAAATATTTTCGAAACTAACAATAACAACAATCTTTGCTACAAAAGAAAAAGAAAAGAAAAATTTTTTTTTTCAAAATTTTGCCACAAATGTTTTTCAGCATTTTATCACCATGAATGTTAGATAAAGTGTAATGAAGTTTTAAAAAGTTTGAAAAAGTTTAACAGAATTATTTGATTTGTGAATGATTGATAGTATATTTCAATTATCAAATTTAATTAATTCTAATTGTTGTTCGTTTAATACTATTAAAGTGATTATTAATTGATTAAATTAATTTAATATTTTTGAAATTGATTATTAATTGAATAAATTAATTTAATTTTTTTTTTTTTTTGAAAACTTTATGCTTACAGTTCATCATTGTATACATCTTATTATGGTAATAGCGGTTTACGTCATTACAATAGCTATCGACCACGTACTTTTATCAGTCGCTTATCAAGATATTGGGCACCATATTTTTAATACCTATTTATTGCTTGATTTTTTAAGCATTATTAATATTATTCATTATTGTATTATCATTATTATATTATAGTAATAATAATAATTAATTAATTTTTATTATTACTATTATTAGTACAATTATTATTGTAATGAAACTCAATATGATTATTTTAAAAAATACCTAAATCTGAGTAATATAGATAGCATTCAATTTTCTTACTCATTTTCAGATATTTTAACTTGATAAATATTGTATTTTAAAAAATTTTGATCGTTTAATAATTATCAGTTATTTCAAATTTTGATCAGCTATTGTCTAATTTCATTTACAAAAACATTTTTTTTTTTCAGCGATACATTAAGAGGCAATTTAAAACAATTTATTTTATTTTTTCTATTTTCTGACAAAAAAAGAAATTATTTCTATTTAAAATTGTTGTTTAAAAAAAAAAAAAAAAATTAGTTTATTAAAAGAAGAAACTGCTACCGATCGTAATTTTCTTTTTTTCGAACTTTTTTAGAAAAAAATCTATATTTTTCTAAAAATTTTCATCAAGTTTTTTTTTTTTTGTCTAAACTGTTTTTTTAAATACATTGGACAATGTATAATTAATTACGAATGAAATTTTAGTGTTAATTTTACGAATAAAAAAAAAAAATATTTTAGTGTTAACTTCGTAATTTCTTTTTTTTTTTTTTCATTTTATTTTTTATTATTTAGAGTTGTATATAAAATCTGCCAAAATAAGCACATTAATCAGTAAACACACTAATTTGGTTCGATGTATTTAATTGATGAAAAAGTATTTTTCCTTTTTTTTTCCAATTGCAGGAATTATTTCAAAATTTCATCATTTAAATTAAATAACTAATTTTAAATATAAAATTTTAAATACACCGCTGATATTCTTAATGATTATTTTTAGCTGCCAGTTAACAGTAATTATCATTATCATTATTATTATTATCATTATCATTGTTATGTATAAACTGATATCATTTTCCATTGTCACTCATTTCTATCACATATGCAAATTGAATTTTGAAAATAACAATTGCATATGCATTGCTTATCGTATTTTACTAATTAATAAAAATTTGCATTACGAAAAAATTGTGCAGCAATTATTGCTGTAATTGTAATATTTTCATAATTACAACGAATAAATATTGAAAATAGCAATTCAAATTTGTCAAATGTGTGAAGTTGGAAAAGAATAATTTATTTTTAATTTTTTATTTATTTCATTCAATAGAAGCAATTTTTACATTTTTGAACAATTTCTGACAAAGTTTGTTTGAAAATTACCACTGCTCCGGATAATGTGTTTTAAGAAATTCGAAATCAAATATTTTCTACACTTTTCAGTTGTATTTACTTGCAGTGTAAAAATTTTAGTTTAAAAATTTAAAAAATTATTTAAAAAAAAATTAAAAAAAACAGTTTAAAAATTATTAAATAATTTATTTTAATTAATATTTGAAACACATTTTTCAGCACAATTATTTTCTCTTCTTTTTTCTTTCTATGAGATAAAATTAGAATGGAATGGATAATTTCTTGTAAATGAAGTGAAATTTCAAAAATACTAGGGAATATTTCAAATTTAAATGTATCATTACGGGTTAGCAAATAAATAAAAAAAAAATAAATATAAAATAAATAAATAAATAAATAATTTTTGGTTTAAGGATGGTGTATCATTACGGGTTCGCAAAGCATTTCTTTAACAAATATTAGTGTACAGAAAATATATATCTGAAATGGATTTATTCTGATATAAAAAAGCAAAATTTTATATCAATCAAAGAAAAAAATTTAAAAAGAAAAAAGTCAAAAATAAAATTTTACACTGAAAACACAAAGGCTTTCACATAATATCTGTGTTATTTCAGCAATTGTTAGTTATCAATTTTGAGCAAAAAAAAAAAAAAAATGAAATTTATTTATTCATTCAGTGATTGATAATATATTTGTTACTTTTTGGTTTAAAATAAATAAAATATTTAAAATTAAAGTGTTTAAAGCAAAAAAAAAGATGGAAAAATGGAAGAAGCAAGAAACATAAGTATGGTACTTTAAAAATAACGTGACAAAAAAAAAAAAAACTCTTAAAATTTGCTTTTGTAAATTGAAATTGTGTAAAGTAAACAAAGATAAATTCTAAAATTTTTTTAAGCACAAAATAAAATTTAATTTTGAGCGTCAAAAGCCTTTTTTTTTTTAAAAAAAAAGAATAAAATTCACTTTTTCGTTGTCGTAAAATAAAAATAGTGATATTTCTTGCATTAATAAAACATTTCCTTCGTTTTTGACATTTATAAACGCTACAAAACTTTTTGTTATCCATTTCAAATACTTAAAAGAAAATTTTTTTTCTACAATTCGAAACACAGAAAAAAAACAAAACTTTAAAAGTTCAAACAAAAAAAAAAAAAAAGTTTTCTCAAAGATTAATGTTATACTGCTTTTATTTAAAAAATATAGTAATACTAGTAATATAGTAATATGTTTTATCAAATATTTAAAACCCAAAATATGTTTTATCAAATATTTAAAACCCAAAATATGTTTTATCAAATATTTAAAACCCAAAATATGTTTTATCAAATATTTAAAACCCAAAATATGTTTTATCAAATATTTAAAACAATATTTATATTTGATAACTGAATATTTTCATTCTATTGATGTTTCCGTTTTGTTGTTTCAGAATTAATCAATAATTCATTTTTAATCATTTACCTGAAAAATTTTTGCCTTTCTTGCATTTTCAATCGTTTATTTTCAAATAATTGATTTATTTTTAACTTTGCTAAATTTAACCTTATCACATACAGAATAAACAATAATTCATTTTCAACTATTACACATATAAATTAAACAATAATTCATTTTCAATTATTAATTTTCTTTTTTTTTTTTCAAAAAATCTACATTATTTTTAAACATTAATAATTAATCATATTTGTCCCATATTTTAGCAAAATATCTTTTCAAGCATATGGCCAAAGTGAAATCATACATTGTTTGTAATGTAAACAGTAAAAAGAAGGAAATTCCGAGAAGAAAATTTTAAAATAGAAGTGATAAGAGGTAAAAAATGATAAGGAGTAGAATGATAAATAAAATAAAGTGATGATAAAGAGAATAAATACAATCAAATTTTCATTTTGTTGAACATAACAATGCATAATTTTCACTTCGTATTCATTAATTTTTCTTTTTCCATTGAAAAAAAGGAAAACAAATCTTTTTTTTTTCTATTTATTTAAATGGTTTCATCACAATAACATTTTCATTACAAAAAGTTCAAAATTTTTCTTTTGATAAATTTTTTTGATAAAAAAAAAAAAAAAAAAATAATTCGTTTACATTTAGCAACGTTTATTGATGTACTAAAGAAGGCGCAAGAATAATATTGGACGGAAGAAAAGCAATGAAAGGTAAATTAAAAAAGAAAAAAAATGAATCTTAAAGAAAAATTTTTATTTATGAATCATAAAAATGATGGAAAATTGCTGTTTATACTTATTTTTTTTTCTTTTTTACTTTTAATTTTTTTACTTTCAAAAAATGGAAGAAAACTAAAAAAAAATGAATCACAAAGAAATAATTTTATTTATGAATCATAAAAAAAAAAAAATGGTGGAAAATTGTTGTTCATACTTAGGTTTTTGTACTTTCAATTTCTTGCGACTTTTTCAGTAGTGCTTCGGACTGATGACTGGTGGCTGTATCAACCTGATCCAGAATATCTGATGCTTTATCTTTCAAATTAAGTGCTGCATCCGATATTTTGTGTTTAATCGTTTCGGCTATAAAATTTGTGAGCGATAAATTCTGTTCAAGTTGAAAATTTTATAGCAAATTAATTTTAACATTTCAACTAAGGAAGTATATGCTTTCCTTCTGATAGAAATAATTCAATTAAATCAGCAATTTATTTTCAAATTGATTAATTGCTTTACACATGAAAGGAGAAAGAAAAATCAATGGAAAAGTGGAGAAATGAACTTTTAGTTATGCAATAATATAAAATTTAAATGATATTGATTCAAATTATTGAAAATCGCCATATAAATAAATATTCATTTCTTATTTTCAATATTTTTAAGAATTTAAAAAAACTCTAATATTTCAGCAAAATTTTATAGCTCGATTAGATTCAATGAAACTTAGCTTACCGAATATATTTGATCAAATTACAGTCAAAAATTTGGTAAAAATAAAATTTTCAAAAGAAATTTTTTTTAAAGAAAAAAAAAACAATTTTTTTAATTTGAAGGAAAGAAAATGTTTTTTTCTGTGAAAATAAAAAAAAATGAAAAGATTTATGTCGCTTCATACAAAATGAATGGGAAAAAAACAGAATTAAATAAGATAAATAGTTTTTTTTTTATAAGTTATTTATTTTCTTAGTTTTTTTTTTTTTTTTTTTTTTTTTACTTTTATTTTTATTTGCCTTAGTCAATTTATCTTTTTTATCTCTTTTATTCTCAAGTTTTACTTTTCTTTTTTTTTTTCTGAAAAATTGCTTACTTCAGATACAACTTACTACAATTCTTTAATTGTAGAATTGCTTTTTTTTTAAAAAAAAAATTAATGTCAAATTTTATTGTTAATTAAACTAAGATATGAATAAAGAAGGGATGAAAAAACTACGATACTTTTTTTCTTTTTAAGTTTTCTCAATGCAATTAGGTTTCTAAAACAAAAAAAGAAGAGGAATGCATATCATTTTTGTTATTATTATTATTTTTTTAAAAATAATTACTTGTTATTTATGTATATGAGATCAAATACATAATAATTAAAAATTTTACAAATTTAAATTTGAAAGGAAAAGAAAAAATATTGCTTACTTGCTGAGCAGGCAGCTTCCTTTGCTTTTGTTGCAGCCTTATCAATCGCTTCCTATAAATTCAAATTTCAAAGTAAGTGTGATTAAAATTCTTTATAAACATATATTTTAATACATCGATGAATTAAATCTAAGCTGAAAAGAATAGAAATAATATGTTAGCTTTACTGTATCTGTGCATATTTTTTCAACATTTAATTAAAAGAATTTATAAGTTATAAGAAAAAAAAAATGCCAAAAATTTCTTAGAAATATTGCAAGCAGAGAAAAATGAAATAAATAATTTGGTTTTTTTAAAGAAAGTTAAAAAATAACCGGATAAAAGTTGAAAGTATTAATAGTTCCCATATGAAATGATTTGTGATCTTTAATACTGCTTTAACGATCTGAGCGATAGTTCTGGAAAAATGTAAAAATGAATTATTGAGTGAAAATTGTGCACAGAAACAAACATTTCATATTCAAAAATTGCTAAATATAAATTCGGAATGCTTCAAAATATCAGTAATTAAAATACTGAAATATCAATGACAAAATCAAATCTAAAATAAAATTCCAAGGGTAAACATAATTGAAACAGGTAAATTGAATTCTAAATGCTAAAATTTCCTACAACAATGTTGCATTTTAAGATCTAATTAAACTGAAATAAATTTTGGAAGAGCATAAAAAAAAATGAATGAATTAGTATTTTCAAACATCTCAACAAAAACCACTAAAAATAATTTTTTACTAAAAACTTATACGTTGTGTTTGAAGTGACTGAATTTGTTTTCAATTGCTAAATTTCATACAATTGAATTACATTTCGAAAAAAAAAAATCAAACTAAAGTAAATTTTGGATGAAGAGATAAAAAGGATAGGTAGATAAAGAAGAAATAGCTAGAAACACTGATATTTTCTTCCTAGAAGGAAGATAACAATAAACGAACAATTAATTAATTGTTAAGATCAGAAACAAAATTTTATCGTGAATTTTATGAAAAAAAATAATTGTCATTTTATGCAAATTTATGCTATATTTTAATTAAAAACATTCATCAAAATTTTAATTTCTACTTTTTCATTTGAAAAAAATGTGAATTATAAATTAGTTTATAGCAAGTTTGTTGTACAAATGAAATTTAAAATAAAATAAATGAATTTTTTACATTTTTTTTTTTCAATAAAACTATGAAATGAAAAGATTTAAATTTTTTAGAAGAAAAAAGAAAAACAAAAATGACTAAATGAGAAAGAAAAGGATGAAAATTGTAATCACATGCGAAGTGTATGTTTAAAATAAATTTGTTTTTTTTAATTTGTCAATTTATCAAGGAGTGGGAGGAGGAGGAGAAGGAGGAAGAAGAAGGAAGAAGAAAAGTGGAAAAGGAATGAATGAAATTGTTATGTGAATACATTAGAATGGAAGGAGAAAAAGAAGAAAAGAAAATGTTGTACGTACACACATAAAAAATTTTTTTCAGCAAAAACAGCCTTTTTGCTAGATTTTTGCAGTTTATTTAAAATAAACAACGATTTTATGTGTAAATGTTGCTGCTTGATCTATGATCATTTAACAGTGTAAAAATGTTCAAATTTTGTGAATAAATTAGACTTAAAAGGCGATGAAAATTTTTCATTCATTCATTTTTTTTCTGATAAAAAAATATTATTGTTTAGTTTCATTTAGAAATAAAACAATATTGATTCAGTATTAAGAAGATGAAAATTAAAGAAAAAACTTCTCAACAAAATAATTTTAATATATTTAAAACTGTGCTATTCGATTAATAGGGTAAATTAATAAATAAAAAAATCAAATTTATTAAAATTTAAAACTGAAAATATTCAAATTGATATAATTATTTAGTGATTATAAATAAGACATGTTGTATTCCATCGATTAATCAACATTTGCTGTAAAATATACATTATAAGCTTCGAAATATTTTTATTGCCTGTAAATTTGAATTGAAAAATCTTTATGGTAAAAGGCTTTAAAAAAAATTGTAAAATATATTTTAAAAAAAAAAATAAATAAATTTCATCAAATTTTGATTCAAACATTTAATTTGTGAAGGCAACATTCGACTGTTTCTATATGTAACAAAACAATTTCATTCATTGTTTTGTAAACTTTAATATGCTTAAAAAAAAAAAAAAAAAAAAAAAAAAAAAAAACATTTCCCAAAAATTTTATTTGTTAATAATAGAATGGAATGAAAATTTGAATAATTCCAGTTTGAAGTTGAAAATTATTTCCAAGTAAACAGTACTTCTATTTCAATGTACTTGAAAGAAGGTATTTATTTATTTATTTAACTTTATATAATGGAAATATGTAATTCAAGTGTTTAGTTAAACAAACCTGGCATGAATCAGTAATTTCACAACCAATAACAAAATTATTGAAACTGACTTAAGCAAATCATACGATATCGGTTATTGATTAATTAATTGATTGATTGATTAGTTACACTTTGAATTACACTAATTAATTTTATTTAATTTAGTGTAACAGTGTTTTGGTTAATCAGTTATGAATTCATTCATCTTTTCGTCTGCATTTATATTAATATAAAAACTAAGTACAGAAAAAAAAAAGAAACATTTGCGAAGAAGGAAGCGACATTTTATAAATGTTTTTAAAATGAATGAGCAACTCTTGAAATTTAAATTGAACTTTCAGTGCTTTTTATTTTTGACTTCTTCAACATTTGGAATTTTGAAAAAAAAATTTTTTGGTAAGGACATCAATAAGAAGGAATGATTTAATCGGACGAGATGAAAATTAGGAAAGTGGCATAAAGAGATAAGCTGATAAGAAAACACTGTTCTTTTTTATTTTTTTTTTTTTAATGAAATAAAATGATGTTAGGATAATTGATATTAGAAATTTTAGAATTTTACTGAAAAAACAATAAAAAATTGAATGTATTAAGCAAAAAACCATATCGTATGCCAAGTTAAGAAAAAGAATGCAATGTTGGTAAAAAAAAAAAAAAACAACAAGCAAATGAAGCAAAAAGTATGCAACATAAAGTAAACATTTTCAACTGATAACAAAAGTATGAGTTAAAAAAATCACTTCTATGTTTCAAACCAAATTTTTTTTTCTTTATGCTGTAAAAGCTAATTTATACTGCTAATGCTATAAAAGTTTTCTAAGTTAGTAGTCATTCTTTGAGAAGCTAAAACTTAAAAATCCATCTCTTACTATATGAAGAGTAAATCTCAATTAATAGCTCTTTATTCAATGTAATCATGCGTTTATTTCAAAAACAATGCCCAAAGTATAAGGATTTAAATTCCTTGTCTTTATCAGTTTTTCTTTACTACATGTTAAGTTGAGAAAAAAGTGTCCAATTTTAGTGATAATAATAATAAACAAAATGCAGTTCGACTGCTCACTCTCATTCACAGTTCATTTAATTTCATTAAATTCCTCATCAAACCATCCATTTTCTTTATCTCATTCGTAGATTAATATATATATATATATTGTGATTGATAGGGAATAAAATCATAATAACAAACTCTATACCAATCACAAAAACAAACAAGGAAGGCTCTTGAGTATGCAAAAGTCCAATTCGACTTCAAGCCACAAGTTATTTTTAAATTAAACTCAAATTTCACAACATATGGAGTTCAAGATAAATTTTTTTTTTTTTTTTTTTGGTGAGTCTTAATTTTATAACCTTCATAACATTTAATTAAAACAGAATTTAAAATTCCTTATTTAAATCACACTGATTGATATAAACCATATAATTTTCATAATGACCCATGCTTAAATTTTTGGTTCAAATTAATTTCAAAGTCAAAAATAGATTGAAAACTTTTTTTTAATTTCAAAAGTGAGATTTTTTGAGTTTTCTATTTTTTGTTTAGATTATATTTTTCGAGTTGTAATCATCTATGTTTGTATGAGTTACACTAAAATTTACTCGTACTTCTCTTTTTTTTTCCATTCAGTCAGTTTATTGCGATGATTCAAGACTTCAAAAACACATAATTAATTATTTAAGTTACACACAAAAGAGAATAGGGAATTAGAAGTTGGAATTTTCAACTTTTTTGCATAAAATAATTTTGCAACCATTCCAAAATTTTATTCGTGGTTTCCAGCAGTTTTTCCATTAAATAAAGGAAAGAACGTCCGAATGCACTGGAGAATATAAGAATTGAATTTAGTTATGAAATATGAGTAATTCTTAACTGTATTCAAGTTTCTGAAATATCATTTCCAAAAATTCTGAAATATTTTCAAAAATGGCTGTTACATAATTTTACATAATACATAATAAATGTCAGTTTTTATTTTCGCTTAATTAAATCAATGCTAATATTCATGCAGCGGATGAGAAGAGATGGTAATAAACGCAGTTTTTTCTTCTACACCTTCCACCTGAATCATCCTGTAAGGTGAAGTTGATTAAATTGAAAATCATAACTGATGGTTTTAGTGATAATGAGAAGAAATGGACGAAATTGATAAAAGCACGCATTAGAATTGAATTTTTATGAATATAAGAATAATTTGAAGTTATTCAGCATTTTGCATGGAGTGATGTTTTCAGTCGATATGCTCTTCCATTTTCCGGCATAGTTTTTTCCACAATATTATTTTAAATAATTTGAAATAATTTTTTGAAATGTTAAAATATTAATAAAATGCGGTATTCCAAAAATTGTATTCCAAAAAAAATAACTTAATATAAATCGATAAATCGTTGAAATTCTACATATTTTTAATGCAATAATGAAATTGCTTATTAATTTTAGCCTTCCAATGTTTTAAAACTTTCATTCCATATCATTTTCAATTGATTTTGATAATGAATTTGATAAAAATATTAATTAAAATTAAATTTTCATTAGATTATAAAAATATTTTGAAGTGACTCAGCATTTTGGTTGGGGCAAGGAAGGGTAATATTATCGGTCGATATGATCTTCCGTTTTCCGGCAAAATTTTGTTCAGAATTTCATTGTAAATTAATTGAAATATGATAAAACAATAAGGAAATGATGTATTCCAAATATTTGAACCTTAATCATGCGATAAAATATCATTTTAAATAATTCCGACACTGAATTTGGCGAAAATACCAATTTCAGAAAGAAATTTCATACCACATATTAGGCGAATAACGAAGTGAAGTTCATGTATTCTGAAATCCATACTTGGACTGCCATTAAACTTTTTGCATAATTTTTAGTAATGCACTAGATGAAACTAGAAACTAACTTGACAAGTTTCATTACCACAGCACCAAAGGTATTTCTGATCACAATTTGTTTTCAGTCTGCCGTTTCAATAACAAAATTCAGCAAGAAACTCAGGTGTTTAACTGCGGGTTAGATCAAATTATTGCAGTTGCAATGGCTTTTTTAAAACAGATTTATGTTCATTGTGTTGGTTGTGTAAACAAAGTTTCACTTTTGCTTTATTTCGTAATTACAAAAAATTTCTAGAAAAAATTTAAGTAACATTAAATGAAGCAAACATGAAATGACTCATATGAAATTGAGGAGGAAATAATAAAAGACACAAATGAATAGTAAATATAGCAATCAACAGAGGCCTTTTCGCTTAGTAAATGAATCCTATAAATAAAAGTATAATTATGCAGTGAATTAAATCTAGCCATTACATTGTTAACCTGACAATATACATTATTAATGAACTTAATTAATGACATAGGTTTAGGAGAAAAATATGCAGTTTTAATAAGAGTGACAGAATTTTCTCGTGGAAGACAACAAACAATTTTGAATTCTCACCAGTGAACTACAGTTGCAGGCGGAAATACCTCTGAAGAAAGCGGCATATTTCAGAATATTCCACACTTTGACTGTTTCAGAAAAAATAAGATAAAATTCAACTGAAAAATAAAAATATCAAACATGCATGAAAAGCTATAGGAATGTTAGATTAAAAGAACTCATTCAAAGCAGATTTCAATTAATTTAAAGTTTAAAAAAGTGAAATTTAAAGAGGATGGGAGTGGGAGAATGCGAACAGTTAATTTGAAATACATTTACAGTATTATTAAGCTGAACATTGCAAGAAAATTTGAAAGAAATAACGAAATCGATAAATAAATTAACAATTCGATTATCCGACCGACTAATTCCAAAAAACGAAAAAAAAAATCACAAAAGAAAGAAAACTGAGCAAACGACTCAAAGAGTAAACGAAAAGCAAAAAAAAAAGCATCAAAACACCTAATCATTGTCCCAAACCGTCCAACTAACGCACGCATAAATGCACTAATTGTCACTCACTTCCCACCCTACACTCTCTAAAAGGACAAATGCGCCCCATCCATTGTCTGCTGAAAGCAAAATGAATACTTATTGTAACATAACCAAAAGATATGGGATTAGACGAGGGGCGGTACTTGACATACTATGCGGGTAAATGATTGCCCAACTTGTAGTAAAGTGATTGTCCGACTTGTAGAAAAAGATTGCTAATAAAACATAAAGTGCTTATAGTAAAGGAGAGAAGTAATCTCGGAGTACTCTTTAAGACTATCACAAATGTCTCAATGCAATGATACGTGCACTTCTGATGGGATATAACCCTACCCTACCCGTCTGCTTGCTGAAAACAAAAAGAGTAATTACTGCAGCACAGCTAAATATATGCATGACACCCTATAAGGGTAAATGAATGCTCGAAGAGCAGGGAAGAGAAATCTCGCAGTACTTTTAATCATTTTATTGTTCATCAAAAAATAATCTGCATTTTATGAGGTAATATTAAGATATGCACGAATAGTACTAATTGTCACATTCTCCTCATACTCAGACTACTCCTTGCACTCCTTGCGTTCATCGGAAGAGTCTCAATGCGATGGTAGGCGCAGCTTTGATGAGATGGAAGGATAATTGCGCCATATGTGCTCACTTTCTAGAAGTAAAATGGAGTAGTATTACTGTAGCATAATTGGAAGAGAAAAGATATGAAGGAAGTATTTAACCCTGTACCCTGGAGAGATACAGAATTTCAACCATAGACAATTATTTGATCAAAGTCAGTCGCAGTTATTAGATCTGAAATTGATAAACGTTAACCGAACTGATTTATTGATCAAAAATGAAATGATTTCGTTCATCTGATGTGAGGTATATGAGGAGAATGGCTTCCGACATATCATAAATTTGTTTCTTATTATTACTACTTCAGAGTAATATTTTTAAGGATTTGTTGACATGAAATTTATAAAAAGGTGATGTTAATTATTTAAAAATTTCGATGTGAAAAAAATATGGAAAAACATGACAAAAAAATGAATGGTTAAGTGACAATGATTAAATGATACCACTAATGAAAACATTTATGATATTTTTATTTTATTAAAATTTCAATGTTTTTAAAAATTTTGTTTTTAAGGTTCATGAAAAAAAAAAAAAAAAAAAAAAAAACTTTTACAATGGAATAAGAATATTAACTAAAATTGGTGGAATGTATAGACTAGAACATAGAAAAAATTACTCATTGAATTGCCCAAAAATGGTACAAACTAGAAGTAATAAATTGCAGTTAAAGTTATTTGGTTTAAAAAAATCGTTCTTTCATTAATTATTAATAAATTTATGAAGACCAAGAAATTCAATAAAAATTTACATCATTTAAAAGACAAAATTGAGATCTCGACCTTATCGACTTCTTTTTTTTGTGCACAAGGATGATAATATAGATAATATAAGGATGCCAAATTCGGATGTATCAGAGATTAGAAAGAGAGAGTAAATGATATCCTCTGTAAACAGCAAAAGGATTGGACAGTACGTGCATGAAGTAAAATGTTGCATATTGTCCATGAGCGCGAGAATATACATAATAATACTTCCATATATGTTCACTTTTATCATTTTTTTTCTTCTCTTGGGATTAGGTTACAACGAAAGTATTTAATGTAAGATATTTAATGCTTGGCATAAATAGTAGTATTATATTGTAAGTACATTTAAATGTGTTATCTTATCATTAATAAATAATAGTTCCACTGTGTTTTTTTTTTTTTTTTTTTTTTTTGCGCTGAATGAATATTTAGTTAATTTGTTAATTTTATAGAATGGAAGCTGATCAAGACCTCCGAGCTCTCTTTAATTTCCTGAGGAGAGAGCCTGTGATGTTTCTTAGATTGCAGAGGTTTCTGTTAAGGACCATTCAGGTATATTTTACTTTGCTTATCTTTTTTTTTCATATGTTTTTTTTTTCTTCTCCTTTTTTTGCTACGAACTGATAATGATTTGAAGGAAGAAAGATTGCAAAATTTGCCACCACAAATTTAAAATATGACTGTAAAAATAGCCTTTTAGTTTGAACGGTCCCTCATGACCCTCTTGGACGATACGAATAGAAGAATGGATGAAATAGAAGGGCGAAATGCCCAGGAAGAAATGGAGGAAGACGCCGTACCGCAGGAATCAGAATTTGATGAAGCAGAGGCAGAGTCGGCCCCTCTGCCCGAAAATGATGATGATGATGGCGAAAGTTGGCCATACGAAGCAGAGTGGGCCCCTCTGCCAAACGATGAAAACGAAGAACCTGCGGTACAGGTGGCACCAATGGAGATGAGTGGCACCGAGGAACCGGTTGAATCAATCCGCGAACTCGTCCTGTAAGTTTTGATTTTTGCAGCAATTGCATAACAAAGCTATAATTAGAAGGCAGCTTGTATATAGAAGAGCAATAATTAAACAATACTATTAAGTAATTTACGTTAAATGTAAGTCTATTTCAGGAGAACAAGGACGATCCAGATCCCGGTCCCTGCCACTCATGAAGTTTTGGCTGCGGTCACACCGGAAGAATTTCATCCCGCTGACTTAGGGGATCTTCCGGAGCAGCTCCAAAGGGAGCTGCAAGTGCCGCAGGCGGAACCATACACGGTGGTTCGAGAACAAGGAAACAATAACATCGGTAATTTGTAATTTCAATAACTCTGAGAATGATTATATATACCTATAATTTGATAAAGAAATATAATTTTACTCTGTTCTTTTACTTTATGAATGAATCATGAAATTTTGTCTTTTATAATACATCAAAACGATCAAAATTTTTCTACATTGATGCTTTAAAAAACAATTTGTGCAATGACATTTTCTTATCATTTCTATTTTCAGTGTGTGGTATCTGCAGCAGGCAGTTCGGAACATTAAAAGGGTGGCGTATTCACGCCTCGAGGATGCACAGGCAGGACGGTAGGTATTTCGAAACATAATTTTCAATTAGTTTTTTGGAAATGTTAATGCATTTAATTCATCTGAAGCCTAGCAAACTAATTATGCATATTCTAGGTTTTTGCGTCCGCTGTGGTCACTACCTCGTACTGCCGCCCGGATTTACGGCCGCACAAAGAACAGCAGCAGTGGAGCTTCATGCCCTCGATTGGTGCCCGAGGGCATGTGCGGCCGTAATCAACGAAAGACAGGTAAAGCGCCGCAGACTTGATCTAGTGGGGAGAGAAGAAGATGCTCGTCACCTCTTCATTCCAGGTAAAAAATTAATAATATTGAAAAAGTGAAATTTAATAGTGGGAAAGGATTCGAATGATTGTTGAAACGAAAAATTCATAAAGTGGATCTCATAGCTTTTCTAAGCCGTGGATTTTTTTCAGGCCAATGATAGTATTTGGCACTCCTCACGCGGCCACCTGTCGCTGCCTGCTCCAGTTCTCCATTCATTATTAGTGAAGGCAGTCACTCGTCCAAGAGGGTTAGTCAATTCAAAAGATAAAAAAGAAAAATTAAAAAAACTAAAAAAGAAAAAATAAAAAAAAAAAAAAACAAGAAAAAAACTAAAAAACAAAAAATAAAAAAAAAACAAAAAAAAAATAAAAATGAAAAAATCAGAAAAAAATTTAAAAAAAAACAAAAAAATAAAAAAACAAAAAAAAAACAAAATAATAAAAAAAGAGTTTTGTTTGAAATAATTTTGATGTAGAAACAACTGAATTCAATGTATGGGAAAAGTCGTGGGTTTTGTTTTGCTTATGTATGTTTCATTAGCCGCTGTCATATGGTCAAAATTAAAAAGCTTAACACAGATAAAATCAAAATTTTCTGCAAATTGAAAAAAAACTTGATTGAGAAATATTGCGTTCTTCAGATCAAATTACTTTGGATTCAGTTGTTTTTCTCAGTTTTTTGTTTTGTTTTATTAATTCTTTCTATGAAGTTAAATTTTATAAATGTTTGTTCTTATTTATCATTCGGATAATGTAAATAATTTATTGCTTTTAATGGTTTTTTGGTTAATACTAACGACTTTCATCTTTTTGTTTTTTAAATTTCTCACAACTATTGTTTATTTTTTATTACTTGTGTTATTTTTTTTACTGAAAAATTTTATTCTTTTTTCATCGTTACCTAACCATGTTAAATTTTTCCTATTTGGTAGCAACTTATAATGTATTTAATTCTGCATTTTTTAATTTGTAATGAGTTTCTTGGTTGCATTTATTTATGTTATGTTACACTTTAGGATGATTACTTTCTAGACTATTAGAGAGCTATGGGCGCAAATTTTTACATTCAAGCATTTTTTAATGACGTTAATTTCTTAAATTTTCCTTTTGCAAATAAGTTTGCCTAGTGATTTAATTAGGTATCAAGTTGAGGAATTTATGATATTACTAATCAATTTAATAATGCCATAATTTTTTATTTGTTGACTGGATTATGAGGTGGTATGAGGATTATAAGCCAGTCTTATAACTATCTTTGTGGTGTCAAGATTAAAGGAAGGTATGGAATTATACCTTCTTTCAATCTTATATGAAAAAAATGTGGGTTATGGAATGAAAAAATGTCTGAAATGTTGAGTTTCCAAATTTATTGTCAATTATGTCACTTTTCGAATAATTTTTACGAGTGAGTAGAACTTTGGGACTTTAAACAATTTTTGATACTTCTCGAATTCTTCACTTTCTCTGAATTTTTGAAAATTTTTTTATCATTATAAATTTCAATATTTTCTTACTGTTGCGACTTTAACGCATAATAATTATTTTATTTTTTTGTCCTTTAATAGCTTTTTTTGTTTTTTATTCTTAGTTTTTTTTTTATTTTGTATAATTTTTAGTTTATAAATTTTCGATTTTTCGATTGTTTAGAAATTTAAGCTCTCGCCATTGTTTTTGAAATTAACATGGTTTTATTCGTGTTATTACATTTTTAGAATTTTAATGTTTTGTATCATTAAAACTATAGAATTTTTCTTTTCAAACTTAGTTTTTTAGCCTTTTTATTTCCAAAAATCTTCTAACTTCTTCATTTTTTTATTTTTTGAGATTATTTCAAATATTTATTTATTTTACTTTTTTTCAAACTGGCAGGATTTTAATTTTTTTAATGTCTTGGAATTTCGAATTTATTATTTTTTGACGTTTATTTATATTATATTTTTGTTAACTTTGCTTTTAATGCACATTTTAAATTAACCTAACTGCATGCCTTTTTATAGTTTCACTACCGCATTCTCTTTTTCTTACTATTCTCACTGATCATTCTGTATTATTTACAGCTTTCATTTCTTTTTTTGTTAGTGTTTTTTTATTCATTTTGGTTGCTTTTAGTTTACTGCGTGCTCTGCTTTAATTCATAAAATATGTCATTCTTTTTAGTTTTACTAATTGTATTCTTTTTTTAATCTCACATATTATTTAATAGACAATTATTTTTCAAAATTACTTTATCTTTGCATGCTTTTTTGATTACTTCTAATTTACTACATGCTTTATGAAAAGTATCATATTTGTTACTAATTCATGTATTTTTTTTTATTTTATTAACTGAAAAGTATCATATTACATGCTTTATGAAAAGTATCATATTACTAATTCATGTATTTTTTTTTTTATTTTATTCATGTATTTTTTATTTTATTAATTTTTCCGATCATTCTTTTTTTCGTTGTTTCCTTCATTTCTGGTTTTACTGCATGCTTTTTGTTTATCGCTGCAGCATGTCCTTTTTGCAGTTTTACTAATTGCATGCTTTAAAAATAACCTCACATATTATTTGATTAACTTTATTTTTGCATGCTTTTTGTAAACTTTTGCTACTACACTTGCTGCTATTTCATGCGTTTTATTTTATTTTATTAACTGCATGCTTTTCTTCTTGATTTCACTTGTTTTTATTGCGTAATTTTTTCGATTTTTTGTTTTTTTTTTTGTTGTTGTTTCATTCATTTCTAGTTGGTTTTAATTTACTGCACGCTCTTTGTTTATCGTTGCAGCATGCCATTTTTTCAGCTTTACTAACTGCATGCTTTTTTAAATAATCTCACACATTATTATTAGTAATATTTTGAAGTTTTAAGTTTTAGTTTTCGAATCTTTTTTAGTTGACTTCATTTTTGCATGGTTTTTGATTACTCATTGCTTACTGCATGCTTTTTTCTTGATTTTATTTGTCATTACTGGTTATTTTTTTTTTTTTTTTTTGTATTAATGTTTTTTCTTTTTTCATTCATTTCTAACTAGTCTTAATTTACTGCATGCTCTTTATTTATCGTTGAAGCATGTCTTTTTTACACTTTGCTAACTGCATAACTGCTTTTTTAAAAAATAGTCTGACATTTTATTATTAGTAATATCTTTAATTAGCTGTAGTTTCTTAATTTTTTTTAGTTTTTGCATGTTTTTTGATTACTTCTAACTTACTGCATGTTTTTATAAACTTTTATTACATCTTACCCTCCCTCTTTCCCGTCCTCCCTTTCTCCTCCCCTTCCCTATCTCTTATCCTCCCTTACTGCCAACTCCTGCATTTTTTTTATTTTATTAATTGCATGCTTTTTTCTTGACCTCAGTTGCTTGTTCCATTCATTTCTACTTTTATTGCACTTTTTTTTTCTTTTTTTCGAATTAATCTCACATTTTATTATATATATGTCGCTTTTGTATATTTTTAATTAGTTATAGTTTTTGAATCCTTTTTAGTTAACTTTATTTTTGCACGTACTTTTGATTGCTTTGATTTCTGCTCACATTGAGGTTTCGTCACTTTTGCATATTTCTTTTTGTTGGATTAGTTTATATTATTGCTTTGCACTATTTTGTTAATTTGTTTTCTGCATGCTTTATATTGATTTTTTTGTGCATTATTTGTTACTTTTCTTGGTGTCGTCTAATTTGCAGATCGAAATAGTTGAATAAATTTTATCAAATGCTCAGAAGGTAAGGTTTTTTGGTCAAATTTCCACTCGTAGCCTTGTTATGAATTCTTATCTTTTTAAATCTTTAAATTTGAGGTTATTTTGTACAGAAATACAACAGAGATCTCAATGAACAGTCATGGAATCTTCTGTCCCATTGATCTTCGCTTCAACAAACAGAATTCTTCTCATGCTTGTGGTGATGATGAGCGTTTCAAAGGTTTGTCGACCTTTAAATATTAGCTGATTTTAGGTATATAAAAAATTAGCCCGCTTTTATACTTGCGACGCTTTATTATTTGTATGCTTTTTATTTTCCATTATTTTCATATTTATTCAAAATTTTTATTATTATTATTATTTTATTAATTATTATTTTTATTATATTCATTATTTTTGTTGTTTTTATTACTTTTATTATTTTAATCATTTTTATTATATTTATTATTTTATTATTAATATTATTTTTCCTATTTTTATTATTATTGTTTTTATTATTCTTATTTTTATTATTACTGTATTTTTATTATTATTATTTTTATTATTGTTTTTATTATTATTATATTTTTTTCATTATTATTTTTATTATTTTAATAACTATTTTATTTTTTTATTATTATATTTATCATTATTATTATTTTAATAATTTTATTATTTTATTGTTTCTATTTTTTTTATTATTTTTATTATTATTTTTATTTCATTTTTTTATTGTTATTATATTTATTATTATTATTTTTATTATTTTAATAACTTTTATTATTTTGTTGTTTCTATTATTATTATTATTTTTATTATTATTTTTAATATCATTATCTTTATTATTATTATCATTATTATTATTATATTTATTATTTTTATTATTATTATATTTTTTTCATTATTATTTTTATTTTATTTACTATTATATTTTTATTATTATTATATTTTTATTACGTTCATCACTTTTATTTATTTTTATTATTATTCGTTTTATTATTTCTATTTTTATTAATATTTTCAATATTTCTATTATTTTTATTATTATTATTTTTATTTTTATTATTTTTATTATATTTATTATTTTTATTATTATAATATTTTTTTCATTATTATTTTTATTATTATTATATTTTTTTCATTATTATTTTTATTTTATTTACTATTATATTCTTATTGTTATTATATTTCTATTATGTTTATCACTTCTATTATTATTATTATTTTTATTATTATTCTTTTATTATTTTTATTTTTATTATTATTTTCAATATTTCTATTATTTTTATTATTTTTGTTATTATCATTTTTATTATATTTATTATCTTTATTATTATTTTATTTTTTTCATTATTATTTTTGTTTTATTTACTATTATATTTTTGTTATGTTTATCACTTTTATTATTATTATTATTATTATTATTCTTTTTATTATTTTTATTGTTATTATTATTTTTAATATTTCTATTAATTTTATTGTTATTATTATTATTATTTTTATTATATTTTTTTCATTATTTTTTTTATTTTACTTACTATTATATATTTATTATTATTATATTTTTATTACGTTTGTCACTTTTCTTCTTCTTCTTCTTATTATTATTATCATTTTTATTATTATTCTTTC